GACCCCGGATAGGCGGAAGAAAATGGATGGATGGATGGATGGATGGATGGATGGATGGATGGATGGATGGATGGATGGAAGTCGTAATTTTATGAGAATAAAGTCGTAATATTGACGTGTCTATTTTCCGTTCCTCATTTCCTCCTTATTTTCCTCACACCTGCTGTACAGCCATGTGTGTCTGTGTTTTTAGTCTGTGATGACCTGGATCACTGTTAGATTAATATGCTTTCATCCAAATTAGCTACGTGACTAAATCCGTCAATGCATCCATTAATTACAATACGGCTTCAGTTTATAGTCATTTGTACAATAGCCAAGTCCTGCTACTGATAATTTGATGCTAATTTGCTAAAAGATTAACTATTTATTTTAAGCAATACTAAAGAACAACTTGACAGATTGCTCAACATTCCTCATTTTAATGCAATAACTGCATGCTTTTTCATGTAAAGACTAGAGTATTATGACTTTTTTCTCGTACTATTATGATTTTATTCTCATAATATTATGACTTTATTCTCGTAACTTGTAGTTGCGCTTTATTTAACATCTTAGTGCAACGTAAATTTCATCAGCTAAGTTGCTAAACTTACTTTTAAACACAAATCCTTCAGTCCGTGGTGAATTTCCAAACTGCGCCGACTCGTTAAAAAATAAAAACGCCACCCTCTTCATTTCTCTCTTTATTTTGCTGCCCACGCATTGAATCCTGGGATATCCTCGGCTGGTGAGCATTCACAGATGCATCCTGGGATTTCGAGAGTTTGTCGGCCGCATGATGAGAAGCCTTCGAATTGGGACAGCACTCGGCGCAGGGCAGTGACGTATGCGGCCGACAAATGCGCACTCATGAGGACCCAGCCCATGAATTGAGACACAGCCACTGAGAGCAAGTGAACGTTGCGCTCACCAGATAATTTATTCACCAGATAATTTAAAGACGGTCTATTCGGTGAGTTTACTCCAGGAGCTGCAAGCTGACGAACTATATTTGTCCCGAGCCCAGTTTAACGAGCCGCTGACCCGCATCGGTGCTGATATCCCCAGCCAGAACACCAACTACAGAAGATTGGTTTTAGCTAAAAAGCTTCTGTCTGTCTGTTTCAGGTTAGTGGGCAACATTTAGGAAACCGTCACGTGGAAAAATGAGTCTCTGATTGGTTGACGCAGTGCGTCAAGCAGRAAAAGTTCAGATTTTTGAACCAGAACATGCACATCAAATAAAAGAAAACTGTGTGGCTATCAAACTTGCATTCATGTATTTGCTCACCTCTGCGTGGGATGGAGATTGGAGCTGTGATGGAATGAAGCCTGCTTGTTGTTGCATGGCTGTGAGATGTTCTGTTACTCTGGGTATGATGTCCTGCTGATATGAAGTCAGGCTCCGTTGTGCTTCCATGCCTGGAGCTGGGTTTGCTGACTGTGTTCTGAATATCTAGGAACTTTAGTTCCTTGATATCCATGGCACTGCAAATAAATATATGGATACCTGATATTATCAAACTGACAATCTGTGGGAACATTTCTGTCCTATGCTAATTATTAATTCTTCAGAAAAAAAACATTAGAAAAATGCACAATGATTAACAGCACAAAGAAATTCTTGTAAAGAAAAAGAAAATAAATGACATGGAAATTCACCTTTGTCCTAGTTAAAGAAGAATCTGAAAAAAAATAAACTTAACCAAAAACAATGAAAAAGTGCTTTAAAAAAGAGAGAAACAAACAGAAATGAATGAAGAATAGTTTGAGTGAAATAAGTTAGGCACAGTTAGTATGAAATCAGCATTAGTTCCTCATAAAAGCATTTCATGATTATGATTGTAAACCATGACTTTCATAGTTTTCTGATTTTCTGGAGCAACCAGCACATACAGTTATCATCACTTGACATGATTTTAACCTCATGTTGTATGTTTTTGCACCATTCTTTCACCTAAAGTGTGTTGAGCATTTTAGTTCAACTATAGCTTTGTCATTACACACTATGTAACCATTCATATTTCTTCTTAAATACAGAAAGTAGTTGGAATTAATCCTGCCAACAGCACCAAAAAAAGTGACTGCAATTTTTAAAAGAAGCTTGTTGTTGTTGTTTGTAGTTTGATTTTGTTAGTTTGTAGTTTAAAAGAAGCTTTTCTTTGCATTAAAACACCTGCCACGACAGAGGATTTATTTATTTATTTATTTTTATCAGTCTAAAAAACCTTAAGATGTGTATTTCAAATCTGAAATAAATAAATAAATAAATAAATAAATAAATAAATAAATAAATAAATAAATAAATAAATAAATAAATAAATAATGAATTTGATGAAGTGATACATAGGAGTGTGTAACATTTTCTAATTAATTCTCTTTTATTTTATCTCATGTCTGTTTAATATATGGTATAAAGTCGTTTTTAATAGTCACTCAGGTACCCAGACTTTTCCTTGAGAGGGCCAAAATGAAGATCTATCTGAGGGCTGAGGGGAAAATGCAATAATACAATTGCTTGAAATGCTAATATTTTTAAGTAAAGTTCTTTTATTGTTTATGATTAAGCTAGCAGTGATTAGATTAAGCAGAGGCCCTTTTTTTCCCCCAGACTGTGCACTTGTAGAAAGGTTGATGTATGTTCAAGCAGCAAAGGCTCATGGRACATTTCATAAATTGCTCAAATATCAGTATTTGTAGTCATATAAAGTGRGCAAATCTACATGTGTGCTTCYATCTAATTTAAAGATAAAGTAAGCACCATGAGTGATGGGGGCCAATGGATGGAATGACTGTAAGGATAAATTCTGTGTTTTTACACAGTTTGGTGGTCCCATTTTGGGCACCTCTGCTATAAATAAAAGAAATCTAATGGGCATGCATGTGACAGATGAGCGAGTAGTGGAAGCCTCTGTCATTACCTGAATGTGACCTCAGGAACAGGACACCTGACTCCGTTATGATAGGGCTGTTTCAGGGAGATGGTTTGACTGGCTCCATCAACAGATGACACCTCTCCCTGGTAAACTCCCAGCGTCAGCCCGCAGTTTATAGACACAACACTGCCCAACCAATCTGCTGCCATCCTGCTCACTGTGAACCTGCAGGGACAAAGAGAAGTTARATTAGGTGTTCTAATGACCTGGAACGTGATGTATTCAGCTGTTAAAACACATATTTTACTCTACATATATGTTACATATAGTTTTGTAGTGCCGTTTAGAGTTTGTCTGAATGTGTATTAATCTTGAATCTGTAAAAACAAATCCTGGAAGCTTTTGTGGTTCTGATGAAGGAGCTGTACCGAGATATGTAAGTTTCGGTTGTATAAATTTTGAATAAGTCTAAGACAAATACGAGATGCGTGCAGCACAATTACAGTAAATACACAAACAAATCAAATCATTGTTCAAACAAATCACTATCGGTAATATCATTTGGAGGCTACGACAGCTAGGCTAACATTAGCTTCGGCTCTGCGATTTATTTTCATCCAGACGGAGAGCAGTTTWTGAGATGTTAAATAATCCAGCTTCACTGTTTCCACTTTACAGCACACTGATTTACCTTGTAGAGAAGTCTGTAAAGAGAGGCTGAAGTCCAGCAGGGCCAAAGATGCTGCTTTGTCTGTGCTGTTGTTCAGCGTCGCCGCGTGACGTCACTTCCGCTTTCTTCCACGTTGGTTTGTTGTGATTTTAGAGTGGGCGTGTTTCTGTATGACATTTTACTCTGTGGTCTGAAGTTAAAGTACAGAAAGAGAGAGGTTGGTTTTAGATTTATGGACATAGTTTATATATA